TAGAGCTTAGGTTGGAATATTACACTCCCACATATTGCAGTGTGATGCCGAGAAATCCTGAAACAGCAGAACCGCAACACAAGTGACAAAGCTTAAATAAATATATATGAAGTAGCACTAGACTAGGAGATAAAAGGAAAAGTAATAGCACCGAATTAGGTTAATAATTGTATATACGAGGTAATTAACAAAAGTTCGGTCAGCTGATGACTTTCAACTTGTTTTGGTTACGAGGTGTGTTCAAAAAATATCGCGAATTTGGTGTTTTTTCAAAAATTATTTATTTATTCATGAATATCTATTTTGTCCCCTTCAAAGTAATCCCCATGAGATATTCTACACTTGTGCCAATGGTTTTTCCAATCTTCGAAGCATTTAAAAAAATAATTTTTTTATCTTGTTCAGCTCCTCCTTCGATGCCGTCTTTATCTCGTCAATCGTAGCATAACGTCATCCTTTCATGGGCCTCTTCAGTTTAGGGAACAAGAAAAAGTCACAGAGGGCCAGATCTGGGGAATACGGTGGCTGCGGCATCATTAGGGTGTTGTTTTTGGACAAAAAGTCGCGCACAAGCAACGATGTGTGAGCAGGAGCGTTATCGTGGTGAAAAAGCCAGTTTTTGTTCTTCCACAAATCCGGGCGTTTCTGGCGGATTGCTTCGCGCAAATTGCGCATAACTTGCAGGTAATACTCCTTATTGACCGTTCTACCCTGTGGCAAGAACTCATAATTCACCACGCCCCTGCAATTAATTTTTTCGTCTGTTGTTGAAGTGATCGGGCGTCCGCTACCCTCTTCGTCGTTCACATCTTCTCGGCCTTCTGAGAACATTTTGTACCACGGTAGCTTCTCCGTATGTCACAGTCAACATTCGGACTGCATCCGCCCACTTAATTTCGTTTTTCACACAAAATTTGATAGAGGTTCTTTGATCCATTTTTTTGAATAGGCGAAAATCGGGGACCATCGAAAACACGTGCAGGCAAAGCAGCTGTCAACAATTAAGAGAACATTCAAAATGGCCGAGCTTGACGGCATAACTGACAGACAAGAGTACCAGCATAACGCCAAAAAAAATCGAAATTCGATTATACGCAACCAGCGAAAATTCAAAATTCGCGATACCTTTTGAACACACCTCGTATATCTAAAAATACCATATCCTTTGCAATTATTTTATTAGTCTTCCTTTGAAAATTTTAGAACGATCGACCTAAATGGAGATACGAAAACTATAGATAACTGAGGATAGGTCAGACGTAATCCCCCCACGTAAGCAAACAGAAATTCGCCATGTGGTTCTCTTCGGATTTCGACGTAATTTACAGCAAATACAAATATACAGTGCTAACCAAATTGAATATGCAACGACTACGCCGTGTTTGAAGACGATTGGTTCCGAAGATTTTAGACCGAATATTTTCCCGCAGAGGACGAGCCCCGAGAATGTCGACCAAAATCTTACACTAGTGACATTACTGTAGCTCTGGTGAAATCCAAAATGCTATGGCTGTATCGCGAATATTAAGTAATAATACACAAAGTAATCTGCTCGATATGTACCGTGTATTTCCAACATATTAGAAAATGGTCAGTCTAACAACTTTAGTAAAGTTGTTACTGGTGACGAAAACTGGTTCTATAAGTACGATCCAGAAATCAAACAGCAGTCCATGGTATGGAGCCCAACAGTAGCAAACCCACACACAAAATCTAGCTATAAAAATCAGAAAAATCAGCAAGTAGCAATGACGTTAGTTTACTTCACCCGATCTAAAATCGTAGCATATATTTCACCGGAAAAGAGTCAGGCGGTAGCTGGAAAGTGGAACACCTAAAAATGTTTACCAAAAGTTTTGAAAATTTTATTGCGATTTCTTTGATCAAAGAAATACGTCCAGCACCATTTTTCCCGGATAGAGCACCTTGTGATTTCTTCTTATTTCCAAATATTGAAAAAATCTTTCATATCATCGAGAGGGTAATTAATGCGGTTAATTCCGAACTTGATAAGCTTAAAAAGCCATATTTGGAAGACAATTTTCAGGAGTGGATCTATAGGCTTAAGTAATGCATTGAAATCAATGGCGATTATGTAGAGAAGATAAGAAAGGACAAAGATTTCGAATAAATATATAAATAATCTTTTTTCTAGTCAACTTACCGAACTTCTGTTAATCCCCCCGAACATATATCTAAATATATTTTCTTGCATAGTGTAAAGTACGTGCCTGTCGTTATGGGTACAACCGAAGGTTCGAGGCATAATAGATCTGCCTCTTTTAATTTTGTTATTTGTTTATATACTTCTATATTTACTCGTTCATATTTGTTATATATCTGTTTGGGATTATTACTCCATTTACAAGGTTTCTCTTGCTAATTCGATTTTCTGTGTTTGATAAATGTTTAATGATGTATATTACATATTAGGGCGTCCCTTAATTACGTTATAAAAACATATATTATTAATTAATGTTAAGCGATCAGTTCAAGTAGTTTAGATGTTTTTATTATTTAATTAGGCTTAGCTGATCTGGTTTGGTTAGTGGAAATCAAACTAATTTAACCACTTTTAGCCCAACGTTTCGCAAGTATTTTAGCATCTTCAGGAGCTCTGATATCAAAAAGCTATGCAATGTCATTAGCGTATACATTATTACCATAATGTTTGGCACCTCAATTGATGCTGCAAACATATTTAAGCTGAAGTCTGAAGGGTTAAAAATTATCTAATAAATATAAATATCAATGCTTAAAGTTTTATGGACGCTCTTCCAAGTCATACGTACGCGAAAACTAACAATTAAAGTTTGAAAGCTTTTCTTTTTATATATATTATAATTCTTCAGTAAATGGGATTTTCATTAAAAAATTTCGGGTGTGAGTATTATACATGATTATACTACTAGGTTAGGTTAGGTTGAAGTTGTTGCTGTGTGTCAGTTCAATTTGGCTACCAAACGGTCCCATTGCCTTACCACTGAAGATCTTAATAGCCCCATCTGCTATTCAAACTAATATGAGAGTTAGTAAAACAGAGCAATCGCCGTCACTGCGCACTCGCTATTCCGCTTATGGTTACCGTTATTTAAGTCTTTTTACTCCTTTAAAGAACGAATCATTCACAAATGTGTTTTTCATGTTCTCTTCCCCTCCTCAAGTGCTGAAGACCTACCGTTGTAGAAATCTATTTTGATCATGCCAGCACTACTTCATGATGATTTAGCAATTTAGTGGCTCTTGTTGAATAAATTACAAGAAGTGTCTGAAATTAATTTCCTTGAAATTTTGAGCACGAGAGCAAAACTCTTCTCGCTCTTTCCATATCTCATTGAATAAAACTCTGTCGAAACGCGGCAGTACTATATTTGTGAGTGTTTAGCATTCGACTGGTTAAAATGTCACATCTTTTACAGTCCTCCCACCTAACCTCACAGAGGTAACCACTCTTGCTAGAAAGAAACAAAAATAATTTCCAATATAAAATCGAGCGAAATATTCCCAAACTCTTAGTTGGCATATGCAGGGGAGTACAATGGGCCTTCTCAATCGATTTGTGCGGCAGCTTTTGGTGAAATCTGCAAAAATATTTCCATACTCTAATACGTATAATAAATATCGGCCGAAAACCACTACTGCGGCTATATAGCTCCACGTTAATTCAAGATGCATATAAAGACAAAAAAGAGAATAATTTTAGAACAAGACCGAGAGGGGAAATGCGTATCTCAGTAGGTTTCATAACCGCAGATTTTTCATGCAAAAATAAGGATGGGGATCTGGTGTTTGAGGTAAACGTTATGCTCAGTTTATCGAGATAACACTTCTTTTTAATGCTTGATTGCAGTGAAAGTGTAATAGTAGGATATGGTGAGACCAAACTCTCATCTATGTCGATTTATAGATTTTCCATCGAAGGACAATGACTAAGTTCGAACAACGAACCAGCTGAGCTATTTAAGTAATATGGCAAAGTACTTACTAGGTACGGGCATCAACTTCTTTACTTAAGGGGGTTATATCAAATTGTAATTTTCAAAAAACTATTTACTTTTACTATTTAATTTTCCGAATGCACCTAAAAATACTTGAGAATATTTTCCGAAAATCTGAAGTTGATCCGACAAGTAGACTTGGGGATATGATCGTTTCATAGAGTTCGAAAATAGGAGAAGCGTAAGGCGGAGTAGTTTAACTTAGTGTAAATAGTTCGCAAAACATTAGAGGCGTTTTTCTCGAAACGCTGTTTTCACAGTCGGTGTGGAAAATTTCTCTGAAACGACTGAACCGATCGGTTTAAATTTACAATAAATTCTGTGATTAACATTTTTTCTACTAATTTATATGTTAAAATTCCTCTAAAAAAATTATTTTTGCAATTGGATAACGTTTTATAATTCATCTATCTTGGATACAGTATTAACAACAACAATAATGTCAGCCTGAAATTTAACGCAGAATCACTCTTGCCAACAGGTGCTACTTGGGAGTGAGTAGGCAATTGAAAAGTAAAATCCTCTCTCGATGAACAAAAATCAAACTCTACAAGTTTCTTATCTTTCCCGTCCTGCTGTATGGTGCGAAGGCATGAACGTTGACAAAATCTGTTGAGTCATAGTTAGGAAATTTTGAGAGAATGGTTTTGTGGAAGTTTTATGGTACTTTGCTCATTGACAACGGCGAGTACCGCAGTCGATGGAACAAAGAGCTGTACGAGATATAATGTGACAATGATATAGCACAGTTTCACTTGGTATTTCCAACTAGCGCCAAATTGCGAAAAGCAGGAACGAATGGGATATTTTTCGATACGGCTATAATCGTATAAACAGTGCCTACAACATTGGCGAAGAAACAAAATGGTATTGATAAAAATATAATTCTGAAAATATGCAGCTTTAAAGAATGCTCCATTACAAACGATATATAAAACAAAATAAAACTGTTAAAAATTTAAAATTTATTGCAAAACTTAAATTAGTTTCAGTGTAGGATATTTAAAAACACATGCATAAGGAATAATAAGGAGATATTTAGTGCATGCTTTTTTAAGTTTCTACGTATGAATAAATGTAAATGCAAAATAAATGCAAACTTAATATTAACACAGTATTTTTTAATTAAAATCTAATTAGTGTAGTAGTGGAAAAAAACAGGAAACATATGTTACAAAAGTCAAAAGTCCAAAAATAATTGCAATATTCTCAATATACGATGTGTGTAGTATATGTACATATCAGGGTTTATCTACAATGAAGATCAAAAAATGAGTACGATGATTGCAAGGAGCTTCAGTTGGTGCGAGAGTGCGAAAGTCGGCTTGTTTACTTTTTATCACAATTACGTATGAAAAACTTCTTTATCTGCTAGAAACCACTACGCCCACCGCCACTGCGTCCCGAGCCAGCCGAACCGCCACCACTCGAACCGAATGAGCTCTGCGGCACAAGTATACGTGGCAGAGTCAACGAACGTTTGGGTATACAATGTTTAAGTGGTGAAAATGGTTGCGAGCGTAAATGTTCCTCGGATGTGCTCAGTTTGCCTTCTAGCTCCAAGGATGGCACATCTATTTCAACGGCGGTTGGCTGAGCTTGAGCTGGCTGTTGCGCTCTCCTTGTTTCTCTCACGCATTCGCAATTTGCCTCTGCATGCGCCTGCATCCCCTGTGGTGCTGGCGTAACCATTTTCATGCACTCACATTCTTCTTCTTCGTCTACGGCATAGTCGTCCATATCGGCATCGAAGGAGGCGATTGGCGCTGTAGCTGCTATGACGGCGAGCGTAGCGGTAGAGCCACCATAGGATGGCCATTGTCACGCGTATGACTGTGCAGTTTGTGGCATTACACCGTGTGGATAGGGCGCACCACCACCTGGCGCATCCAGACCAGCACCTGTACTACCGCCACGCTCAACCAGATTTTTTAGACGTCCACGTAGTTCTTCGAGACTCTTTGACTTCGCTTTGTTGATACGTTTATACTTTACATCTTTCGGCTTGGTCACCGAGCGATGGTTGGACATGACGCGATTGTAGTTCGTTACCTGCGATTTAACGGCAGGAGGCGAGCTGCCATCAACGTCAGCGCCCGCCAAACCGCACGGCTTCTCCGTCGTGGGTGTGGCGGCTGTGGTACGTAATTGTGGCACCTTGACACTGTAGGCGGTGTAGCCGTCCGTGGTCGGTGATTCTAATGGTTGTGATATGCTTAGTTGACGCTGTGGCGAGGCTGGTGTAGTGCGAAGATTCTCTTTAGTACGCTCCGTATGTGTTGGATGAGCGAGAGGTGCTGCTGGTGAATGTATTGTTGGTTCGTGGGTAGGCGCATGCGATGAATTGCTATCGATTTGCCCTTCAGTTGAACTCGAACTTAAAGCCTTCTCCGAACGTGTACGAAATTTATCGCGTTTCTCGGCCACATCAGATGTCGGTTCCGGATCCTCCTCCACCGAATAGACAGTTTCCAATATTTCCGGACGGCGCAGAAAGCAATTATTGCGACGTACGCCACTATATTTATTCAAATTCGTCTCTATGGCATCGGAGATAGAGCGTACAATTGTTATGCCATCACTGCCACACTGACCGGCATTGGATCCAAAACCGCTACCTCCACCACTGCTGCGACGTCTAGCGCCAAACGGTATATGGCTGCTATCCGAGTCTATGTCTTCCAACACCACGGCCGAATCGGAGTCGTTCAGTGAATCCAGCTCCGTGGTGAAATTCGCTTCAATTGTCTCGAGACCATGATCGGATAGACGACTTGACAACGTATCAATGATTTTTTGCTGCCTCTGTATGGTAAGCTCGCGGTGGCTGAGCAGACTCCCTATCTGCTTTTGTTTGCGCTTCAGTCGCGATTCGAGCAGGAGAAGTTGAGAGGTCAGCGTATTCATCTGATCACTTTTCTCCTTCTGATAGCGATAGTGTTGTTGTATCTGTTGGAGTTGAAAAGAAAAAAAAAAAAGTAATTGAAATATTTGCATGAAGTAGACGAAAGGAGCTCTCTCACCTGTAGCGCATAGGTCTTTCGCCATTTCATAATGTGCTCGGCCTGATAACGCACCTTCGTACGCAACTCTTCAATCATGAGTCGTGCCGTGTGTAAGTCTTTGGGATTCTGATTCATCATATTCAAGCGCAGATTGCTGGTGTGCGTGCTCACCGGCTTGGGAGGCCAGTGGAATTCTACTTGTGGCGGCTGATGTGCGTCATTCGGTAATGAGCCGCGTGGCTTCGGTGTCAACGGTTTGGTGGTCGCGTCACTGATAGCTGCGGCTAAGATACTAACACCGCCGCCGGCGCCACTCATGCTACTATTGCTGCCACTGTTGCTGCCTGCGCCACTTGTCATTTGATTGGATATGTTGTTGGTATTGTTGGCGCTTATCAATGCTGTCACTGCCATTGTTGGTGGTGTTGTTACTGTCGTCGATGTTACTGCTGCTGTTGTGGTTGAATGTTGCGGTTGTGTGGGTTGCTTTTGTACGCTGCATGCCATTGTTATAGTTTTAGCAAGTTGCGTTGCACGTTGCGCTGCATACATTTAGGCGCGTGCTCTTATTTAACTTTGTGTAGGGCACGGCAGCGTTTTTAGTGTTGTTCAGCGTTGGCCTCTGAACGCAATTCCGCGAATATTGTGGATACGGTTGTGCGTGTGTGTCGTGGCTCTAGGCAAATATTTGCTGTTTCGTGTTGCTTGCGTGATTGACGTGAGTTGTTGCTGAAAGGAAAATGTGGAAATTTCCATTTTAGAGATTGATGCTGACAAGAAGCTGTTTGTAAATATTAGAGATTTGCGTAATTATGTTTGCGCTGAACTAATACTCGTATATATATATATATATTTGCTTTTGGGTTCTAAATAAATTTAGGAAAATAAAAAAATTAATTCGTGAATTAGGTACACGTCAAACGTATAAGAGAAAATGGGTTTTCTAATATCAAAAGGTTTAAGGTTTTGGTTGATTCATTTTTCCATTTCCAAAAAAGTAATAGTGGTCTAAGTCAATTTTCTGAAAGATATATAAATAAGTTAACTTTTCAATAAAAGCTCCCTTATTTTTGCTACAAACAATAATAATAATAATAATAATAACTCCAAAGGTTACCCTCCTTTATTGTCGAGATGCTTAAAATTTTAATTTTTATTATCTACGGTTTTTCATTGATATTATCGTTATTAGTTTACTTTTAGACTAGAGATATAAAGCTAACGAAACGATGTCATTTCGGTTTGTTAGTATCAAAAAATAAACGTAACGAAATGGTAACGATTAAACATTAATGCCATCTTTTCGTTTCGGGTAATCTTGGAATAATAATTATTTTGACAACTACTCGAGTGAGATTTTTTGGTTAACGAGAAATTTGTTAAACATGTTTGTTGTTGAATTTAAATTCTTCTTTTAAATCAATAACGAATACTTAAATATGAAAGTAATAAGATGAAGCTTTTAGGTATTATATTTTTTTATTGAACACTACCTTATGTTCCTTTTCATTTCTAGCTTATGCATTTATCACAGGCCTCGGTATGGTTCAAATTTCAAGCAACTCTAGGAGTATTTTTATTTCAGAGAACCTAAGTTTTCCTGCCGAAGGGGAACTGTAATTAAAAAAAATAATTGTTTATAAATTTCTAAGCAAGAATCGAAGAGAGAGCGTACAGAAACACCATCACAAGAAAATATACATATCTATTATCACCCATCAAACTCATCAAAACTTATCACCGAATTATATCAAGCCAATTTATAAGGTACGTGGTTCATTTGTGCTCTAAGAAATTTTGTGATTTTAAGACAAATCATAAATATCGTGTGAATCGCAGGGACATTGTGATTATTTAACAATAACTCTATTAGTATAGACAACCAATTCAAGTTATTTAACAAAAAAAAAAAACCATATCCACATTTGATTATTCAGAACTATTGGCGTATGCGCACATTAATATATCACATCATTTTGCATATTTGTTGTTGCACGCACTTTGTGTGCATTTTTTATATTAAAATAAATTATTTTCACAAAACTAATTTTTCTCATAGTATTTTATACGTTGCTTTACTGCTGTATCGAAATTTATCTAGTTGATATTTGTGTTCACTCGCGATAGACATTTGCTCAAACCACTGTCTTTTTCTGCTCCACTTTTTCACTTTCTTCGGCATTTGCTGCAAGTGCATATACATAAGTATATACATATATATAGGATAATTTCAAAATGTCACAAATTGATATTTTTATTCGCCTGGTTGAGGCAGTCCCGGAGTTTGAATCTGATTACAACAGCATATTTTCATCAGATATGTCAAAACATGCGTTGAAAATTCATCAAGAAGAATTTCGGGCACTGTGGGAAAAGGTAAAACGTTCTTATGATGAATTCCAAGTGTCTACTGATCAGTTTTCGGCCAAAAACTTATCGACGATAAAAAAGAAATACAAGGGTTGTTATCAGATTTACAATAGGTGCATGGAATCTATGAGCAACCTCATTGATAAGCTAGAGAAGGCGGACAAACAGCGCAGACATTCATTCACGGGAATGCAATATTCAACTACCTCCGTGCGATACTAAGGTATTCCGAGGTGACTATTTTTACGGCTATATATATCCGCAATAATCGCCTTTCTCCAGTGGAGAAATTATTTCATCTTCTGGCAAAAATTGAAGGGGAAGCCAAGGAAATAGTAAAAAATGGTTCATTAACAAACGAAGGCTTTGAGATCCCCTGGAAAAATATCTGCAATAGATTCAAAAATAATTATCAGTTGGTTAAAGCACAATTTAAATTTTTGTTTAGTCTGCCGTCCGTCAAAGAAGAAGATTGCAATTCTCTGAAACAATTACAGAGAAAAATAAACAATTGCGTATAGCGCTATGGGAGCAGCTAAGAAGGGACAGAACCGAGATTCCAACCTAGGAAGAGCTTGATGACTTCCTGACAAACCGTTTTCAAGCCCTCGAAGCAGTGACAGGAAAACATGAGTCAAGGAACGCACATCCGTTTAAGCCGCATGCCAATAAATATTGGCGCAATCAGGAAACACCCCGTAAAAGGCTTGGCTCATATCAAATGAGTGTAGTCAAACCACTCTATCCTATGCGTAACACTAGCGAGCATAAAATTCGTTATTGCTCGAACTTTGGAAAATTAACTCCAAAAGAACGATTGGAAATAGTCAAACACCATCTACTATGTATAAATTGTCTGTCCGAAAAACACATCATTACCAAATGTCCTAGTCTTTACAAATGCGCTATTTCAACTTCGCTCGCCGATCAATCCTCTCTTCGTTATTGACGCATATCTTTTAATTTTATTACGACTAACTGGAAATCTGTCTTCAGCTTTGTCTTTCAGAGCTTTTTGGGAGCTAGAAGACATCCCCAAAAGAAAGACGCCAAATGAAGAGGAACAAATATGCGAAGACATATATGAACGTACTACAACGCGAAACAATGAGGGCAAATACACAGTTTCTCTCCCATTCAAAATGGAATATCCTGGTCAACTACAATTGGAACCATCCTTAAAGATTGCCTGCTCTGAGTTCTTCCGGAACGAGACACGTCTGAAGAAAAATCCAATTCTACAAAAGGAATACCACAGAGTTTTATACCAGTACGAAACTCTGGGACATATGTCAAGGATCACGACCAACGTTTCTGCTGATTCCTCTGATGATTATTTCCTTCTTCATCATGCCGTGATAAAAGAAGATAGTACATAAACAAAGGTCCGGGTAGTCTTTAACGCATCAAGTCGGACAACGAATGGTACTAGTTTGAATGACGTGCTTCATTCAAGGTCAGTATTACAGTCGGATTTGACCGTACTCATCCTACGTTGGAGGTTATTTAAATATGTATTTAACACGGATATCGAAAAGATGTACCGCCAAATTTCCAACCACAATAAATACCTACTCATAGTACACCGAACTGATCTCAACAACCCGATCAGTCTTTACGAATTAAAGACGGTAACGTTCGGGGTAAATTGTGCTCCTTATCTAGCAATATGGACGTTATTGCTGGTTGCTGATGACGTCGAATCAACTCATCCTCTAGCAGCAAGCATACTCCGGAAATGTATGTACGTTGATGATGTTTTCGCAGGAGGACATATCATTGAAGAAGCCATAAAGGCCAAACACTAAATCTCTCCGGTACTCCAATCAGCTAGTGACCAAATAATAAGAGATATACCCAAGGATCATCTCCTCAATAAAGATTTCTTTGAATTTGAGGATACGAGCACAGTGAAGGCATTGGGTAATCGATGGAACGCTCGTTCTGATTATTTTTACTTTTCGATAAAACCCATTAAAGGTGATAACATAATAACGAAAAGAGTGATACTTTCAGAAATCGCAAAGCTCTTTGACCCACTTGGTTGGTTAGCACCAATCATGATTATAGCCAAAGTTATTATGCAAGGCATTTGGTTAGAAGGCCCCAACTGGGATGAAGTAGTATCTCCATCCATTTTAGATCGTTGGCACGCATTTCGTGAAGACTATCACGAAATCGACAACATTCGAATCCCAAGATGGGTCTTCTACACTCCGAAAGACCTCATCGAAATACACGGATTTTGTGATGTCTCTGAAAAGGCTTACGCAGCAACAATCTATATGCACGTACAGAGGAAAGATGACGTCACAGTGAACCTACTTCTCGCAAAAACTCGAGTAGCTCCGGTCAAAACAATATCTGTACCGCGTCTTGAACTTTGCGGGGCAGTATTGCTAGCTGAGATAATAGAAACATTAATGGACAACGTGAGCTTAGCTGGTACAAAAATACATTTATGGACGGATTCAACCACTGTGCTGGCATGGATACGGAAGCCTCCGTGTCCATGGTCAACTTTCGTCGCACATAGAAAAGGTTGGCAATGCGAACTGGCAACATGTGGACTCGGCAATGCAAGCCACTTGGGGTGTATTTGATCGTGATATTTTTCTGCATCACATATGCAGTACTATTAAACCAATGACGTTTGAATTGGAATGTAAGATGGCTGATGGTTTCTTCAAACTTGTTATATTTGAAAGAAAATGAAATAAAACAAAAAAGAATATTTAATGAAAGAATATCTAAACAAGTTTTAGTACTTACCACACGTGAATAAAGAAAGAAAATGGTCATTTCATTCCATCAGTAAGATGGTCGTTCATATAAAAAAAAATTGCCAGAACGACATAGTTCCACTTCACAATACTACGTTTACACGCACGAAAATATGAAACATTAAGGTGCATGATGCTATAATTTTTTGTCAACAACAAATGATCATGAAGTACTTATATCCAGTGCAATCTTTGGTTAAACACATAAGTTGCAATATATGGTTCCGCAGCGGATTAATTACTCCCTTTTTTTCGGGACGGAGGATCAAAAGTAATCGATATCGCTATAGCTTCGACTGGATTGTGTCTCGACTATGAATGCGCAGAGCACTGAGTGGCATCTCTTGAGCTGAACGTAAATCAGCTGATGATACTGATCTAAAGCACTAACCACAAACAATCCGTCACTTAAGCGTCTACCACAATACAAGCATACCTTTGCAATAATTCTCGTCACCCATTTTTTTCTCTCTTTCTCGACAAGCACACACAATTAAAGTTCTTAAATATTTTTCAGTAGGAAAATGACTCGCTACGGCAAAATGTTGAGAAAGGCAAGCGCATACAGTATGGGTG